TGTGTGTGTGTGTCAAACAAATCTAGACAAATGCACAATGACAAAGCATTAGCAATGCAAAAAACCCAACCTTGTCACATCCATAAAGCCAGCTGTAACAGCAGAAAACTAATAGGAAATATGAAAAGGTGTGTGTGTGTGTGTGTGTGTGTGTGTGTGTGTGTGTGTGTGTGTGTGTGTGTGTGACAAACAAATCTAGACAAATGCACAATGACAAAGCATTAGCAATGCAAAAAACCCAACCTTGTCACATCCATAAAGCCAGCTGGCACTGATGAAAACTAGCCTTGTATGGCTGTCTCAGCATTCTCTGATGAAGTGATGTCAAATGACAGCCTGTCTGTCACTGGCTGTGACAGCAGAATCTATCTTACTACATCACTAAACAAAAGTAACACGATACGTATAAACAGACCTGCTCTCACTGTAAAAGAAAAGCATGCATTACCTGTATGACAGGTGACCGAACCTCTGAAAGCTCCCTCTTTGAGCAGAGACTGTGACTGGAAGCCCCAAAGTCGACGCAAGGCACAAACAGTGCGCCACACAGAGGCACACACACACACACACACACACACACACACACACACACACACACACACACACACACAGAGAGAGAGAGGGCAGAGAGAGAGCAGGACTGATGTTTGGCATGATACCAGCAGGCACCCAAAATGTGTAAAGCAAGTGGTTGTCATAGCAACAGACCAGCGGGCCATTGACTTGGGTCCATACGTAATTCAGATGCAAGCATCCTGTCATTTGGTTTCAACCTCCATGTCTAAAGCTACCAATCAAAAGAAACGATGACTTATTTCCTTTTTTTTGACACATGATGCAAGTCTGAGCAATTTCTATTTTTAAATCATCTGATGAAGTAAAATAAATGTTAATTGTTTTCATTTTCTCAATGAAATCGCAGTGGAACAAATTGTTTTGTTTGTAGCTATAAAGAACAGATATTTGAACAATTTCTTTCAAAACAAAGGTTAAATTAAACCCCTGTTTTCATAGTGGTGATTACCTTAAAGTATGTAATATAGTTAAGTAAGCCAGGAGTGACAGCTAACAGCTAACTGTCACGGACCCGGCTCTGGAGGACTCAGGGGTCCGTGAGCAGGATGGACC